AAGGATATTTTCCCATGAGATATCTGCGTGTGCAAACACGATGCTGGAGCCATCAGGAAGTTGGTTGCGGTATTTCGCAACCCATTCTGGTCGCGGGCAATTCTTGATAGGTGTGACGAGAAAGTCATTGAACTCGGCTACCGAGGCAAATGGACCGCATGTAGCCATGTTATCGATGCGATGATCATATGCTGGACCCCCAGAACAAGATCCAATCCACCCAGGTTCAGCTGGGCGGATGCGATGTAGCTGAGAGAGGTACTGCTTCAGTTCGGAGATTGTTCGTGCTTTTGATGCTTCTGTCATGACTGGCCATGCTTCATCGAGCTGCATTCCGGGGATTCGTTCCATCAAAATCCATCCGAGCTCTTTGTCATTTTTACCCAAGTGAACTTCAAGAACAGCGGGTACAGGGACTGATGTGTGATCTCGTACATATTCCATTGCCTCGACCTCCCTGCGAATCCGATAGGTGTCGCCTTCTTTACGAAAGGGTGTCAATGGGCTTTTAGCGGCATCTTTCTCATTGTTTGGCACGGTAGAAAATGGTGTCACCATTTTGTGAATGATATGCTGGTGGTGAGGATATTGATAGTTGAGGAATGCGAGGGCACGAGTATTTTGCCCGTATGTGTTTATTGTGTTCTTTACCTTTGTGGCCTGGGGGCTGAAGCCTCTTATACCCTCCTAACCTTATTACAGTTGAGAAACTCACGACCAACAGGTTTAGAGCCGGTTCGGATCAATTGTGCATCCGAAGTGTGAAGTTACATGTAAGCAAAAGTATCTTTTCTATAATCAGGCTATGGTTTTGATACCTTCTAGTGAGTTTATTCCCGTGGGATTCTAAATACAGGATACTCCATCCCCGCTTCAACCGGAATGATGTTGAACTTGACATAGCTGTCAATATTCTCCGGCTCAAGAGCGATAAACGCCAAAGCGGCATTCTGTTGCCTCGTGCTAACGTAATAGCTTCCGACCGGCAGCACGACTTCTCGAGTGGTCGAGTTTGTGGTGACCGTGTTCAGATAGGTGCCTTCATACAGCTCAGGTTCAACAGCTGAAGACTCAATTGTCAATGTTTCCAAAGTTCGCCTAAACTCGTAGTTCATCCTCTCAACTTTCAGTCCTAAGATTTCAAGTCTCTCGGCGACGTCGGACCAAGTTCGCGGAATGATGTAGGCTTCGGGTCGGGGCCTGGTAAGATTCGCGATTGATGGGGTAGTCCGCTGGAAGTCAATTGGTACCTGTACGACGCTGCCGTTGCGAGTATCAACCATGGTAAATGTCCTGTTCTCTGGAACGTAGGAATCTGTGATGACGATATCTTCATCGCTGTTGATAAAATCCTCACGGGCATCTTCAACAATCGACTTGACCTTCTCAGCGTTATCTCTTGCTAACTCAAGAATGGTCTGGATCTTGATAAGAGCAGTCGCAACACGACGCTGGAAGTGTTGATTGGCAATACGAATACCCCGCATCTCAAGTAAAAATGAGATCGTCTGTGTCAATCCAACGGCATTGCGACCAGTGCGTGCCTCGGTCACAGCTTCAGTGAAGCGAATGCGTGAGCCTTCAGTGCGGTTGGAAGGCCCAGTAACATATGGCTCCCACCGGAGGCCGTGGGACTCAAGTTCCTCTCCTACAGCTGGGATGAAGAAATCGAGCAGTTGTTCGCGAATCTTGGGATGAATGTTGGGGTTGATGCCGCCGGATAGAAGGGAGTCAGCTCCGTGCTGGTAGTGGCCGCCGTAGATCGTAGGCACAGTGAACTCGTCTGCCATGAAAGTTAGTCATAGTAATTAGTGGACTTTGATGGGCACTTACGCATGTCGAGCGCTATATGAGGGTTCCATTCACTGACGGTTCGTTTAATCTGTTTTGATTGTCCACGCATGAGCTTGAGATGCTCCCGGTTAGGATCGAGATTCGACGCCAACTGTCTCTGGAAGTATGCAACGCCATCAACATTATACCTGGGAAGGATCTTGATGTCCATCTTCTCCAAGATCGACTTGGCCCACGAAGGCTCGGCATCCATCTTACCCAGGAACGCAAGGACGGACTCATCAGCAGCTGGCTCATTACCGTGGATCGCAGCTTGGAGATAGATGCGGAGTTTGTCACTGCTCGAGTTGGTGCTTGGAAGAGAGAGGAAGACATATGGAATAGCACGGCCTTCTTCGGATTCAAAGGTCGCTGGCTCATAAGTCATCCAGTCATGCTTCTGAGCTAGATTTCGGATAAAGTAATCTTCAAAATATTAGTAAGTATTCCGGAGGCATTGACATTAGTGGTCTGACCGAGTTCAATGTCGTCAGTAGGCCCTTCTGTGCCGTTTGAGAACCGAGCCGGAACCTTGTCGGGATTCAGAAACGCAGGTGATCGGAGAGTGATGTTGACATCGGGGAAGTTGGCCGAGACGAGGTCAGAGTCCTTGCTTGTGGGTGCCCAGTTCTCGCCATATTGGAGACCTCTCTGTATACCGCCTGACTGTCCTGTGACGACGGATACGAGGGCCGCGAAACTAATAACTCGTTGAGCCATTTTGGAAAAGCTCTAGACAAATGGGAGGATCTCCAAAGCACGAGCAGTGTTACTTTCTATTGCGTTGCGGGAAGACCAGCCTTTAAATACGACGCATTATGCTCCTTCGAATCGGTCTCGGTCATTGATCGGAACTTATTCTGAATCCGTTCATCGCTTAAAGCCGATCGTCGCATTGCATCTAAATATCGTGACGTTACGTAGGATTTCATTATCAATTACCTCCGCATTCTAACCAAGTTGATGCAATGGACTGATTGACGAACTGAGGGGTATGCTTGGCAGCGATGATACTCTGGAGACAGTGGATGATGAGCAAAGAGAATTCCCGAATGAGGTAGGTCGGTAGATAAGCTTAAGTAAAACTCCGCAATAACCCGATTTTAGCACAACATTTATCATGCTTCGCTCGACACTTGGATCTGCATCTCTTTCGATTCCATCCCAGTCGTATTGCGCTAACCTTTGCAGAATGCACAGCGCTTGCCAGTCTACCGCGCGATACCAAGCACGCCTACCCCAAGATCTAACTACTCAATCACCTTCTACTGAAGGCCCATACACTGTCTCGTGCCAGAGCCACTGTACAGGGCAGCCCCTCGTGATGCTTGCCACAAACCAGTTCGCTCGATGCGAGGCCGATATACATGACCACGAAGTGCAAAGCCCATGCTCCACGTCAACGTTTTAATATGTTGAAATCATCAAGAGAGAAGCCTCAGCCGCAGATCAAATGTGTCTGCCGAAGCACATGTGATTTGCAATAAGAACTTGGAAGATGGCGACGATGAATCGGAAGCGCTTTAAATCAGCTGCTAATAAAGCCATTTGTTACAGAATCAACACAAAAGGAACTCTTATGGGGCTAGAGTATGTCGAGAAGATCGAGAGGCTACACTGACTAGCTGGCTAAATTGAATCAATTATACGAACAAAAAACAAGCTTTAATTCGAGGAATATCATCCCTGTATGCTAGAACAGCTTTAATTCAATCACCATCAAATCTCGTCTCTTGCTTTCTCCCACCTGTGCCCGGAAAGGTCCCGCACTGCCCGTTCGGGCTACATTGGCGGTTGATCAATTTGGTTCCATAGGCTCGAAGCCATTGATAAAGCCTTGGCCAACGTCATGAGTGTGACTCGACAGGATAAACTCGTTGGGGGCCATTTTACAACGCAGGCATATTATAAGTACAAGGCTTGATGCCATCAAGCCAGAAGGAAGATTCAATAAAAGCGCCCTTTCCAAGCCACCATCATGAAGGCATTCGCAGCAGTCCTCCTTTTGGCCTTTCCATCGATCGCCGTATCGCTGACCAAGCGTGACTGCGACTCCTTCGATCTGACCGCTCCAGGGCCTAAGGGATGGTCTCAGATGGGTCAACCGATCCGCGTGTCAGAAATCGTAAACTGCACCGCGGAAAGAGCCAAAAAGAATGGCGATGGCAAAGGAAACTGCAACATTCAGCGCTATATAATGGGCATCATCGCCAACGCAACTATCAACAGCACCGACGGCGCAACATTCCAAGCCCCATCCCCAGCAAACTTCAACACTTCCATGACAAACAAAGAGGCCATTATCAAAGCTCTGAAACACGATATAGGACCATTGGGAAACGTCACCTTGGATAGGCTCGTCGTTTTACCTTTTATTGCCCCATTCAACACAACTCCAAACGGGACATACGGGTATTGGACATTTACGCCTGCAATACAGTGCTGGCGTGGACATCCCAAGGACTGTGACGGTGATTTGGAGGAGAAATTGGATGGCTATTCAGCCGTGGTTTGCGGCTTCAGGCTTAAGAGCAATTCGACGCATGATCCTGTCACCACCTATGAAGGCAACGTTAGTTTCGTGAAGCTGGACGAGGAAGATGCTCTGATCAAGTCTGAGATCAGGCCATGGCCAAGTCTCAGCAAAGCTCAAGAATGGGCTTGGGAATGGAATGAAGCTGATGTTGACTCTGGGGCCGTGAGATATTATGGGATATCGACGGCTGCCATTTGGGCATCTCTTGCCTGTCTTTTTGTATTTATTTAACCTGGGACCTTTTATCGCATTTCGGCAAAGTATGGTATCGGCGCGGCACATATATCCTGTTGACAAGCACAATATGACAGTGCACTTAATCCCCTCTCGAACCTCACGTTGCGGAACCATGATGAGGTGACGAAAAGTAATACTATCAACCCTGTAACGCGCAACCTCCCACATCGGAGTATTGACATTGTTGGTCATCCTAGTTTGCTGATCAGTGTGGTTTCATAGGCCTTTAGACAGTCGCGCCGCCTTGGCCAACGTCATTGAAGCGACGAAAGGTGAAAGAATTGGGGGCCATTTGCAAGATCAAGGCAGCAACACACGGCATACAGGAACTTGTTCAAGTCCTGGCCGTGCTCTAGGTCAACGGCCAGTTTATATGTAATCCGCAATTGCAGTAATGAAGCTTATAATCTTCTTCCTTGTATTTTTCCCAGCAGTATCGCTGTCGCTATCAGAGCGGAGCTGCCAGACTTTCAAGCTAGAATCCCCAAATGACTCCAAAGGCAACTTTGATAAAGGCAGTTCCATTCATGTCACTAAGCTAGTCAACTGTACCGCAGACAGAGCAAAGAAAGATGGTGACGACAGGGGCAATTGCAGAATCCAGAGCCCCAAGATAGGTATTATCGCCAATTCAACAATCACCCAGGACGACGGTGAACCCTTCAAAACTTCTCTAGGGAGCAACAAAAGTATACTCGAAGCAGCAAGAGATGTCGCGGACTCAAAAACTATGCGCGGGTACTGGACCTGGGCGCCTGACATGAACTGTTGGCCCGGGACTCTAGATGACTGCGATGATGACGATGATCTGGATGATACTGAGGTGGTGGTCTGCGGCTTCAGGATTGATAGAAAAGGGAGTAACAAGAGCGACGCCGAATACCGTGGCAGGATTGGGTTTGTGGAGAATAATGATCCAAATTCTAGGATCAAATCTGGTGTTAAGCCTTGGCTAGACTATGAAGAGGCTGTTAGTACGGCTGAGGCGTGGGTGAGGAATGATGTGTAGGAAGAGGAGTCGTTGGCTATAAGACTTTGCAGTGCTGTCCCGACTCTCATTTGGTCATTGCTTGTCTCTCTGTTTGCATTACTTTGATAAGCTAACCCTAGTGCTCGGATCTCGCTATAATAACATTGCACAATTGGTTCTTCAGATGGAGATTTGCTGAACATGAATAGCCTGTTGTGTATCTTAGGTACGAACCAGCTCTCACACTACTAAGGAATAGCTCTTACATGAGCATCCAGTCATTATTAGCATCTATAATTTGGTGGTAATTGTTAAGACTGGCCGCGTGTAAATCAGAGGTCAAATGGAGACATTTTCACAAGAGTGCCGGCCCAGAATCCGTGCCGGTATGATTGCCGGTAAAATGTGCCGGGAAAGCTAAAGTCGTCAGCGGTAGTAAAATCACACATTAACGCGGTTCTTTAGTCAGTTCTGAATTGTATCCTGTATGGTGCCGGATATGGGACCGGCTTCTCCGTAGTAGCGAGTTCAAGGAGTATAAATCCCCTCATTGACATGGCCGAAAGTCTGTAGACAGCGACATCTAACAGTGAATGCACACGTACTCTGGTTTCCTGGAGCTTAAGACAATAACGGCATCTCGAAGTGAAACAACAGGCTATTTATACAAGATCCAAAGGGCTCGGCAAGATGCCATCAGACCTCACCACCATTTCAACATCAGAGGGATGCCCAGGTAAGCAGCACAAAATCTCGACCAACCTTACATCAAGAAGCTAACCCTTTGAAAAAGCCATCGGACCCTATGTAAATGCCTTGTGATTAATTGGCAGTATTTGATTACTAACTGATACCACAAGTCGCAAGCTGTAGTCGCGGGCTCTTATGTCTTCCTTTCAGGCCAGATTCCAATCGACTCAACCGGCAAGCCTCTCCAAGGAAGCATCGCATATAAGACCCATGCTTGCTGCAAGAGCGTCCAGTCAGTTCTGTCAGCGGCCGGCAGTGACATCAGCCGCGTGGCAAAGGTCACAGTCTTCTTGGATGATATGAAGAACTTTGCGGAGTTCAATGCTGTTTATGAGACGTATTTCACGCATAAGCCGGCCAGGAGCTGTGTAGCGGTGAAAACACTGCCTAAGAATCTAGAGGTGGAAATTGAATGCGTGGCTTTGGTTCACACCCAGGGATCTCGGCTCTAAGTATGTGTCATAAGACGGAATTCCAGAAGATGAGATAGGCGGATAGTTTTGGTATTTAAATGACATATGTAGAGGCTCTAGTATCATCTATCCAATCCCTGAGCATTTCACTATCAGTCAAGAACTCTTATCGGTGATAGTTGAGAGGTGTCTTTAAAATTTAGTCATGCAGATTAGCCACAAAGTAAGCCGACTCAGTTCTCTCTGCTGGTTCAAGCTCTCGACCACAAGTCGCAACTGCAAATAACACATCTAGATAACTAATTACAAATGTCACTGCACAAAGAGCAACGGAGATCTGAGTTTCTTTCCTTGAAAAACCCTAGATTCAAATACACTACAATCATCAGGGCAATACCGGGTAATGTTGTCGTAGACACCTGTTTTGGTCGCGAGATAAATGTATAAAAGAATGATAACCAAAGGGCTATCTAAGAAGGCCAAAGTTATGTCAAAGCTTACTTCTCACAGCCTCCTCCTCTGTAACAGACCTGATCAGGTCTCGGACCTTCAAAGCCACACCGTAGCTATAAGTATACCCAAGAGTGTTAAAACCATAAGCGTGTATCACATCGCCCTCACCCTCCAGTCGATATCCTCCTTCTCTACTCGGTCGAAACCCAACCAAGTCTTTCATAACATGCTTGCTCAGATCCACATCCTGGTACAGATCATTAGCGACGAGCTTCATACGTCGTAAAATATCTGACCGCACTGCTGGGTCAACATTCTGATCCATGTTGCCTGGCTGACTGACTCCCCCAACAATCACGCCGCCGCTGTACATCCGCGGGATCTGGTAGGTGTAGTGAGAGCCCTGAAACATGATCATTTCGTGAGAATCACTTTCGACAAGCATCGTCTGGCCACGAACAGCGACCACGTTTTTGTCATTCGCAAGGTGGAAAGCCCCAAGGCCTGACGCGTTGACGATTATCTTTGTCCGTAGAATTGACCTGGCTTCCTCGATGGACTTGACTTCAGCGCGGATGAAACGAACTCCTTTCCGGTCTAGTACCGCCTTTATCCAGGGCAAAAATACTGCTAGGTTGACAGTCATAGACTGATACTTGAAACCAATTTTGGCGGTTGCTGGAAGATCCTTCGATGGCAGACGGCGATACTTGGGGGCCATCCGTTTGTACCAGATAGTAGAATCGTTGTCTCGGTCGTCATAGAACTCAGTCACATCTACCACCTGATAATTGACTCAGCAGGGAATCCTTGCGGGAAAATGGTGCCCAGGGCCACTTACCTGTACTCCACTTGTCGGGTCACGATGGGCGAGTGCCCAGTAAAACTTGAAGCTCTCGGTCTGCAAATCATGCCCCTTGTAGTCCGGGTGGGGGAGAATGCCAGCACCAGCCCTTTACACAGCACTTGTCAGATTCGAGGAAATATTCATCAGGGCTGAGTGATCCCTACCATGGGCTTGCCCACTGCTGAGATGAATCATCTCCAGGTAAATCACGGGCGACGATGGTCACAGAGTATCCGGCATCGACGAGAGCGAGAGCAGACGTGAGCCCGATGATTCCAGAGCCGATTATGCCGACTTCCATTGTGAATGCTTTGAGCTACTTTTTCACAAAATGTTTGCGGTTCTTGTAGAGTATTCTACCGACAGGGACATTGGTAGCAATATTTTGAGAAGACGTCCGTTGATAACGCGATTGCATGCGATACAAGCCGGTGCCGGTCCTGATAACCAGAGAGTGTCGAGCCATGTTGGTGCAGCTAGGCGCTGCTTACCGGCACGTTGATTGTTAAGGAGTGGAAATACCGCTAGACAAGAATTGGTAGGTCTTCTGAGAGCACTGGAATGTGCCGGTGATGAAAGCGGGGCCGTAGCCCGGAGCTTGGACTGTGGAGACAGCCCGGCACCTCGACCGGCACAACCGGATAATTCGGCGGAATTTTCAACGCAAATCGCATCTGGGGACATATCGATCAGTCAGATAGATATTGCTGAGTCCTCTGCTTGTCATGCCATGACACCTGGCTTAGAAACTTAGCAAAGACAAGTCGCGGCATTGCATAATGACTTCGCCTAAAGACAGAGTACTACTAATTGGCAGCGGCGGCATTGGCACGATTGCTGCTCTCAATCTCGAAAGAGGAGGTTTGGCGGAAGTCACGTCCGTCTTACGGTCTAAATTTTAAAGTCGTACGCAGCAAGGGATTTACGATCAGGTCTTGCCAGCATGGCGATATTCACAATTGGCGGCCTACTGAAAGTATGTTCAGCCTGAACCTCAGACAAGATGAAAAAGTCCCGCTGACTTGCGAAATAGGCCTCGATGCTATTCCGAGTAGATATGATGCACAGGGCCGACCATTCGACTATATCGTTTGTTGCACCAAGAATATTCCCGACATCATCCCTACGTTATGCGATATCGTTGCACCTGCAGTCACTCCCGGCCATACAGCCATCGTCTTGATACAAAATGGCCTAAATATCGAAAGACCATTTATCCATCAATTTCCGAATAATGTTATTGTATCCGGTATCAGCAGAATCGACGCCCACGAAGTCGCACATGGTGTCATCGAACACAAGCAGAACGACGTGCTACATATCGGAGCTTTTAATAACCCGTCCTTGCATCCAAAAGTACAAGAAGCAGCGGCGAAGCGCTTCGTAGAGATATACAACAAGGGAGGCAAGACGACATGTCTATACCAACCAGACGTCGATCTCGACCGGTGGAGCAAATTGGTGTACAATGCTTCCTTCAACCCGATCTGCGCGTTGACTCGCGTGAATACTGGCGACCTACAGAGAACAGGCAGAGTCGTGGATACTCTTGTAATACCTGCGATGAAGGAAGTTTTGGCTGTAGCGAAAAAGGCAGGATACGAGCTTCCAGAGAATATCATCAACGATACAGTTAATAGTAACCCGATAGATGAGAGCATTACTCCGAGCATGCAAATAGATCTGGAAAAGGTAAAGACTTCACCTAATGCAGATAATAGTTGATGTCTAACAGGCTGAGCTTCAGGGTAATTTTATCGAACACGAGAATATCATCGGGGAGGTAGTTCGAGAAGGTCGCGAAAGAGGAGTGGCGACACCGGTGTTATCAATTTTGTACGAGCTATGCTGTGCGGTGCAGTGGAAGCTCAAGGAAAAGAGAAGTAGTAAATAGATTAAACTGTTAATAATTCCATATGTTTTAATCCCTTTTTTCGCTCTTGTCCATGTCGCCAAAGCATGTTGTTCAAAAACTGTTGCATCGAAAGACCTGACATTTGATACTTGCATCACACGCTTGACCTCACCATTCGCTCCTCGTGGTGTGCAACAACTTGTTTTTGCTTCCCCTGCAGTTGATAGTCCGGGCGGGTTCGGAGACAGGCGAGTAGCCATTTCCGCACTCGCATAGCGGAACGAAAACGAGGTTAAACGAGGTTGCGAGGCCAAGCCTCCGGGAACCTTTGCACTATATCCGGCGATATCCACAATAGCCTAAGCTACGCCCAATTGAAAGCCATTGTGTACCGGGGAATTGCAGGGGTATTCACACTGGGTAGTACGCGGACACTGGGCCAATTGCTTTTTATTTCAGTCGCTTCCTTTCTCATTTTCTCGTTCTCGTTTTCCATCCGGAGCTTCTTAACTTTAGCCCCCCCAAGACTCCAGATCATCGGCATTGGCCATGTCGAGTAGCACGCCAACGTCGTGGCCTACATCCGGAACCTCGGAGCATCGAGGTTCCAAGACGAAACGAGGCCACAGGAAATCGCGGCTGGGTTGTCAGACCTGCAAGCACAGACGAATCAAAGTCAGTCTCACTTCAATCCCTTCTTCAGCATACAATTAGGGGCCGTTGACTAATCCTAATCTCTCCTTTTCGTCGTTCTAGTGTGGAGAAGAGAAACCTATTTGCGCTCACTGTGAGAGACGAGGTGAAGAGTGCCACTACACTCTACCATTGCATACCAGGCACTATACCTCGCCAGCGCCGTCACCGCAAGCATCAGGAGCAGCACAGAATCTCGGTTTACTGGACTTGGAGCTCATGCATAATTTCTGCACGTCGACCTACGCCACTCTCAGTAATGACTCGGTGATTAGGGATCTCTGGCGCATCCGGATCGTCAGGCTTTGCCTTAACTGTGACTACGCCATGCTGGCGGTCTTGTCCGTGTCAGCACTTCATCTCAGCCACTTTTCGGTGGAGAGGAGAGAATTTCTCCGTGAAAGAGCGATAACGTACCATAACCAGGCGCTTAGCATCGCAGCTGGGTTTATCGACGCGTACAATGAAAGGAATGCCCAGCATCTGTTTGCGTTTTCGATTTTAACAATCTATTATTGTCAGTTCCCTGATTTCTCTTGCTAATCTCACTAATATCTATACTAGCCTTCGCCCAAACTCCAGAACACGATGACGGACCCTACCCTCCTTGGGTAGTCCTAGTTAAAGGCTGCACGAGCTTTATGGAGTTGGCTCAGAGCACCCTCTTAGGTGGACCTTTCTCAGCCCTTTTGCACAATGCTCGAAAGCGTCTGGACCTGCGACTGCAAACCTTTAAAACAGACTACATGCAGCAGTTGCGGCAGTTTGTAGATGGGAGGGTCACAGATCTAGAGCGGCGGGCCATTTACCACGACGCGATCCAAGCATTGAACCAGACATATGGTGTTTTCCATGAAGTCGAAGGTGAAAATGATCTAGTGGACATCTTCTCTTGGCTCGTATTGGCAAAGGATTTGCTCAAGTTTGTGGCAGATGAAGAAGAGGAAGCTCTTGTGGTGCTGTCTTACTTTTGCGTCTTGTTGCACAAATTGCCTGGTCAATGGTGGCTCAACGGTTGGGTCAACCATATCATGACTAGGATTTACTCGTCTGTAGGCGAAATGTATCTTACTTATCTAGTATGGCCGATGGAGGAGATTGGATGGTTGCCCAAGCATTAAAACCTGTTGTTGTTCACAGATACCTAGCTAATGCCCAACAGGCAGTGATCCGTGGATAAGTAGCTGCAAGATTCTTGCGTATGGTCCGTGCTCTCGTTCCTCGTTCCCATTACTCTCTCTCGGTTTCGAAACGAGTTGTGGATATCAGTGTCCAGTGTCCAAAAGCGGCAGCTAATAGGCTCCGCTGACAACGAAAATGGTGTGCGCACAACATCCAGTTTTTAGGTTCGCATAGAATGCGAGATGCGAAAATAACAAAGGGATACGGTCCTCGTATAGAGGTGGCAGCTGGGCCGGTAAGTTCTCTCTTAAATGACCAACCACTTTCTACTTTCGTATTCTCTCCCACCGCGTGACGATTCTGTGTTCTCGATAAAGCCTATGCCTTCCTTTGCTCAAACTCACCCGCAAATCAACCTCGAGACCACTTCAGTCAACATCGTCAGCAAAGATGGAGCTTTTCCCACGGATTGACACACTTGCCGATGGCAAGCTGGACTTTAAGCTGTACCGGTACACGCCTTCTTTTCCAGCTGCCATCGTCGCCACCGTCATATTCGCGATACTTTCCTGCCTTCATCTATGGCGCCTCTACAAAGCCCGAGCCTGGTATTTTATTCCGTTCACAATCGGCGGTGCTTGTACGTCTCCTCCGACTCACACTGATGAATACCGCTAACGTGTGCCTGCAGTCGAAACCATCGGTTACGCTGCGCGAATTGTATCCCATAACAACAAGGAGTCTGTGCCTGCCTACAGTGTCCAAGCGATTCTTATCCTCGTTGCCCCCGCCCTCTTCGCAGCCTCGATCTACATGATCCTCGGTCGAATCATCATCTCCCTTCGAGCTCAACATCTCTCGTTGATTCCGGTTCGATGGCTGACAAAGGTCTTTGTCTGTGGTGACATCGTGTCCTTTTCGCTCCAAGCAGCCGGAGGCGGTATCCAGGCATCCGGTACCATCGAGGCGTATGATAGGGGTGAAAAGATCATCCTTGCCGGCTTGTTCGTTCAGATCGTGGTGTTCGGTTTCTTCGTCATTACCGCTGGGCTGTTCAACAGGAAGTGCCTCAAGAACCCAACACTGGCCGCCAGAGAGAATGCATTCCCATGGAGACTCGACCTTAATGTCTTGTATACTGTCAGCATTATCATCCTGGTTCGAAGCATCTTTCGTGTTGTTGAATATCTTCAGGGCAACGGCGGATACTTAATTTCCCATGAGGTATTTCTCTATATTTTTGATGCTGTATTGATGGCTATCGTTATGGCTATCTTCCTCATTTGGTATGTGGACCACCTTCAATACAAAGATGGCGACCAATACGACCTTGAGCCTTGTGTCTTCGATGAGACAACTTCTTCTTGATCAAGGGGCAGGAAACGTGCTTATAGATTTGAGTAAAAGTGGGAGCTGTTGGTTTTATGGGGAGGATTAGCTATTCGCATTAAGATGGTATCGACTGATGTTTGGAATTTGCGATATTTGGACCACATAATATTAATACTGTTTCATATTATTTATTATCTACTTCTTTCGAAAAAAGACACCTGTAGACACTACATATCGGTACTAGTTTTGAAAAGTCTCAGTTACAGAGTCACGCGTGGGATAAGGACGCAAGAGTCTTGCAGATCATTAAGCATGCCACGTATCCACGGCTACGGCTTCTTTACTGTCAGTCGGCAATTATTATTTATCGAGATAAAATGGAAACTTCAGTATAGCTGTGGACTGCGTTTAATGTGTTGAGTTTGAGAGAAAACCTTCTTTGCAGGGCATTTATTCAACTGGATCTGAAGGGCAAAGAGAAAATTACATGTCGGTATTTATCGTCCACGATTCTCAGTACCTTGAATTCACATTCCACCGACCTTCTAAACAGTGTTCGAACTTCTGGACCCGACAGAGTCCTGGATAGCTACGATCCTCAGTGGCTCTACCTCTCCCAATACAATCGAATCCCATACCTAACAGCCGTTCCTCCCCCGTTCAGCTTAGCGTTCAGCTGACTCGGATGCTCCCAGGTGAACAAAACCATGGCGAGAAACATTAAAATACTGTCGAACATGTACATGTACACCTCATGGGAGATGAGATAGCCAGAATTCCCCTGTGCGTATTCGATCAGGCGAAAGACCGACCGTACAAGAATGAGGCCAGAGGCGATGTACAGTGTATAAAGATACCTCTGCCAAGGGATGCCTGATACAGCGGCCTTTGCGGATATGGAACCCACGAGTCTCATGTGAAACACGGCTGCGGTGACGGCAAACAGTGAAAAGAAGACAATTTGCACGATGAGACCTATAATGACGATACGTTCGCCATTGTGCAGAGCATCGAGGGAACCACCTGCCATCATGCCACCACCTACGAGCTGTCAGAGCAACTTCGGAGAACGGAAGGTCAAGTAAACTCACCTGCGCCTTGAAGAATAAATGACGCGACATCACCGATGACGAAGATCTTTGTTAGCCACACCCTCTTGATAGGTGAGTGCCGCTCGCCATCGGTAATAATGATGATACGTCCGAGTATCATGTAAATGCTTGCCGCGAATAGTGCTGGTGAGATAAGCAACAGCAGAGTCTGGACCACATAAGGCTTCACAGTCCAGTTGGGGCTTTCGCTAGCAGACACTGCCCTCTGGGTTGAGGTTAGAAGTGGAAAGTTTCAGCGATAAAGAAACTTACACCAACGTAACCAATGACCTGCACTATTCAAGTATCAGTCTCAGGATAGGTACATGGAACGCTTTTGGGGAAAAGACTTACTGAAACCACCGATGACGAAGCAAGAAAAGAACCACGTCTTGGTCCTAATTAATTGATACGTATGTAGTCCGGTGACCATCAGAAATAGGATGATGAAGATGACAGCCGCCGCCATGGACGGGTCATACCGGTAGAGCTTGAAAATAGCATCACCATCTCCTGCTGCTGTGCCAGACATGATTGAAAAGTTCTGAAGTTGGCTAGAATTCCGATAAGACTCAAAAGTCCAATACAAAACGTTTGTAAGAGGAAAAGGCGTTAGGGAAGAGCTTTTGTGTAAATATTAGAAGAATGTTGTAAACAGACTATATAGCAGCTCCAAAAGATTTTTTAAGGGGCCGCTTTGCAATCCCCACAGACTCCGTGGCAGTGCACTCCCTTTTCTAAGCACTTGCTCTGTGTGCAATCTCGGATTCGTTTACGGGCTCTGACGGGAATGCGAAGAACGAGGCGGATGCGCTTGGGGCTGTTCTGTTGCGTGTTTCATATTTTTGTTTCGCAGTAGCCTCTGAAAATATGAATCAAATGGTTACTGATTTTAACCGCTTATCTGAAACGTTTGTTTATCACGTGTTATTTATGTGAGAACAACGGTCTCTTCTCGTCTGTCAAGTGTATTCCAGAATTCGCAAGATTATATCGTCCCCCTTTGCCACTGCGGCTGGACCCATCTATCCTACCTCCACCCTAAATCCCATTTATTACTGTCAATTCGGGGATCTTATCGACTCATAGTCGTTTCCTCCGGTCAAGGTAACCGCCATAGTCTGAATTTCCCATATAAGCCTAGACTCTAGAGTCAACTGTGGAGGACAGTGGCATGTCAATCTTTTGCAGTAGGGCGTTGCATTTCGCCGATAATTGGCTGTGATACCTTAAGTGGAAACTGACCCGAGCAGTTTCTAACTACTGGCACTCCTAATACTATTGATATTGGGTCTTGTATCCGGAGCCAGTCGACTGTTGAATAGCATCCAGGCCAGAAGTGGGGATTTCCTGTCTGACTCGCCAATGCGCAGCTCTGTGTCTTGAATGTTATGGCAGTGTTGTTAACATAGGTGGGAGAGAGACGAGCCGTGCCGTGCCGCTACTATTATTATATGCTTGTCGACACGAAGTATGCCGACAACCTCACATAAGCATATCTTAGATTGGCGGTGACATCTTCTATCGTAGTTATGGCTGTGTCTGGGTAACTTTCTGTGATTTAGAAAATCCGATGCCACTCTCCACTACTAACTAATTCCCAGTCGCTGCCTCTTACCTCAACCGTCTTGTACTTTCGCTCAGCCTGATTGCCAAGCTGCACATGGAGTCCCAGCTATAGCCCCCACTTCAACTCGCTTCCCAAGATTGGTTCAGCCTGCATAATAAGCGCTTGGCGTCAAGGCGCAGTTTCATGTGCAACACAATTGTAGTTCTCATTGGATATATCAGTATGTGGGCTGAAAAAAGGCTTCTCGCACATGTGGAGCCTTTGCACTTGATCTTTTCTACTTAATGCCCTCGAGCCAGAGTTGAGTGACTTTCAACCTTTCACTGCCTTCGTATCATAACTACTCCGACAGCAAGATGCAGCCCAAAGCCCATCATTACGAGGCGACACCGGCTCGCGACGTAGACACAGACGAGATTGAATTGAATCCTGCTAGCGAATCTTCTCGTAAGCGCAGGTACGTTCGTCATGGAACCTTTTCCACTCACGGCTGGGGCCTGGAACTCCTCTCATCTTTCACAACTCTTGTCTTGTTCTCCGGCATGGTTGCTATATTTTGCAGCATGCGCAACAAACCTTATTCCGAATGGCCCCTTTCAATCTCTATAAACACAACCATCGCCATCATGTCCACTGCCTGTACGGCAGCTATGATGCACAATGTGAGCGCTTTCATAGGACAGCTTAAATGGCTTCACTTCAAACGATCTTCGCAGAGCGTGTACGATGTTGAGAGATTTGATGAAGCCAGTCGAGGACCACTTGGAGCTATCCTCCTTATCCTCAGACTTCCATGGAATCTTGCAACATTAGGAGCCTTCATAACGATTCTCCGTCTGGGCTTCTCGCCACTCTCTCAGGCTGTGGTTAGCCTAGAACCCAAGATGGTAGATGTCCCAAGTAACGACTCGACTTTTGGATATGTACACGCTTATGATAGAAACATGACAACGGGTGCTCAGTCCGGTAAGCTACCAAGATGCAATGGTATAAGTAATAAACTGACGGTCATTTCTAGAGATACCACCGGATACACAAATGCAATCAGCTATTCTCCAAGGGCTTTACGATATAAGTTCCATTCCTGTGTTTAACTGCGGTGGCGCCTGTCTCTGGGGGGACCCGTATGTATCCTTGGGATTTAAGAGTACGTGCAAGAACGTCACCATGTCGACGTTGGAAACAAAGCATTGTATCAAGCCAGAAGGGAGACCAGGGATGGTGTTTGATCGCAACTGTAATTTCACAACGCCGGGAAACATTACACTTACAACTCAACATGTGCGGACCGACTCCCAAACCACTTTCCGAATTAACGCTACACGTACTCATCTGGCTCATCCCGATAATATCACCACGACGCTGGATGACATTGTGAGGATCGCTGTTTGGAGATCAGGCTATGATACCAGTTTCAACGCTACTGACATCAATATCACGGAATGTGCCGTCGGATTTACTGCGTATGAGTACCCGAGGGCCGAAGCGAACGGTAGCACCTTTTCTTTCGGCAAGGTTATTGAAATGGATATTCGGCGTGCCAATTGGTCCTGGGAGAATCCGATGGCTCGAACTCATCTCACTAGCAACAAGACTTCTAACCTACCTCCGTTTAGGATATCCATCGTCGACATCGAGGCACTGCAAGCCTTTTTCGAGTCCACCACCTTTCAATCCGAATTTGTAAGCGGAAGCGCAAAGAATAACAACCCCGGACTTAGTGCCGCCTTGGATGGAGATACTAACCTCACACGTGCTTTCGATAACATGGCACGGGGCATGACAGACTATCTCCGCTCGGGGCCAAACGAGAAACTAGCCAAAGGGGTTCGCAGAGAAAACCAGATTTTTGTGTTCATCCGGTGGTATTGGTTGATTGGTCCTGCGGTTTTAGAGCTATCTGCGTTGGTATTTGCAGTCTTTACGATAGTAGGCACTGCGAGGAAGCACGAGGTGCCGCTGTGGAAATCTTCGGCTCTTGTACTTTTAAGCTGTCGGCATGACGTGGACTCGGGTGTAATTCATGGAGAATTTGGAGATATTAAAGAGATGGAGAACATGTCAAAGGTATTAAAGTCACGGCTAGAGTAGCGAAAATAGATTGATGAATTCCTTGTATACATATAGCCCAGAAAATATACCTCAAACCGCACCCCTCCCATGTGCAAATGAGTGACGCTGGCATGAAGGCGACTCAAATTTCGTTACTAATCCTATCAATCCTCCCAGATATCACTCTTAATATTACTTCCTTCTCCTCCGGGTTCCCCTCGGTGGTTCATGCCCCTGGCCTGATGTACTATCTGCTTCTATCCTCAGCGGATTTGGATTCCCTCCTCTTTGCCTACTAGACCCGTCAGGTATGACATCTTGGAAATACTGTAGAGTTTAGAGTCGGATTGAGATATATAAGTGGCGGTGATGTCATTGATTGATATTAGTTACTATAAATGAGAACTTGAGGTCTCAAACAGCAATGACCTATATCCCTTCTGGTAATCTGTGCTGGCCGATAGCTGGCTGGCTGTCTAGACATCTTTAGTCCAGTACTGCTTCCTAAAGGCAGTATAGTGCAAAACAGTATTTTAAAATATTTTATATATATAAATAGACTGTGCAGTACTATAAGAAGGCTATAGGTATAGAACCTATATTTAAGAGACCTTTTAAATAGTATTTTAACATCTAACCTATTATAATTACTAATAGCTATAATTCTATAAATTGTTTTATTTTACTTATTAGAAGTAAATTCTATATTAAGTAGTACTTTTCCTTTTTTTACTTAATCTTAATTAATAATTAAAGCTTATAATATCTTAATAAGATATATTAAGCTTTTCTTTTTAATAGTATATTATAGATTTATTGATTATTTTTATTTAATATTTAACTAATTAATATAAAAAGTATTTTAATTTTTACTTAATATTTAACTAATTAAAATACTTACTATCTCCATTTTAACTCGATTGATTGAAGACTCTGAAGCACCTTCTTTACGCGCAGGGTCGTGCCATCAACATGTCGCTCTGCGAATTGCAGCAAGATGCCTTTCATTCGCCCAGTGTGAATTTCCAAGGGCTCTGCCTCTTTGAAAAGCTTCATATAAAAGTCCTTTAACTCTAAAGTAGTTCTTGTGTCTAGAGTTTCGGAAAATCCATATTCTTTGGCTGCTTCAGCAAGTTCTGCCACCGCAGACTCCACGGAAATGTCCTCTATAGCGAGAAAATGACGCAGCTTCCAAATGGACGGTCGGGGAGCTTCTGCCTCAATGAATACTCGTAAGCGACCCAAGATATTGTACTCAGCGGTTCGAAAAGGCTTTTGGGTTGTGGAACCCGGCCAACACCTGCTGAAAATGGTCATCAGGTCTCTTTTTTCCCACGCTTCCCAGAATTCGTCGAAGGTACAGGCAGGGTCTTTCTTCTCCGTGAATGTAGCCGGAATTGAGGACTTGAGACTCTCTTCGTACTCAAGTCGCGATAATGATCCGAATAGCATGGTATTGTACATTCTGCTAAGTGTTTCTTCCTCATGTCGGTCCTGGCATACAACGAAACCAAAGTCGAACCAATAACAGCTGTTTAGATTCATCGGAGGCGGGTAGGAATTGACAATGGTAATACCGTAGAAGGCAAAGCAATGCATCTTCGAAAAGGGACTCAAGTCGTTCAAGTCTTTGTTCTGGTCTTCTGGGGCTAGATACTTCCGGGCTTTGTCCTGCATGTTTTGTAATTGCCTCTCAGGACCTGGTCGATGTGTGATGGACTTATCGTTAGCTGTTAGCTCGAAGCGCTTGCGGTGTCTGAGAAACCAAGGGAAGTAGCTGCCTGTGCTGCCCTTAGGAAGCTCCTCGAATTTCTCAACTATCTTTGTCACGAGATATGCGTTGCCGCCTAAGTCTGACCTCCACTGGTGAAGTTCTTCACGTGTAATGGGATAATGATGGTAACGGAGAAGTCCGGCGAAAAGCCCCAACAGATGCGATTCTTCATGCGAAGTTTGGCATCGGTCGAGCCAGTAGTCCTGTCGTACCTGGGGATCTGTAGGAACTATATCTTCAAGGACATCCTGATAGAGATAATCTGCCGAAGTAACTTGCCGCATATTGCATTTGAGGAGGTGTGACAAAGGCATTTTCCGCTCGCATTTCTCGTTGCAGAACGGGCCTTGTCGACAGTGAGAGCATCTTCTAGTGGTTTCCTCCCGGCATGTTGTACATAAAGCTTTAGTGCTTTCTTCAAAGGTCTCATCTTGAGCTTCGACTCTCGATGTTTCCTCATCTTGGACACAATCCAGGAGTCTAATCAAAATCCTTCTTAGTATACAGCAAAAGAATACAAGTATTATAGTACCAGCAAATTGAATAGCTAACCTGTCATGTCTTGATCTCCCATGAGAACTTTGAGCTCGTTGGCGGCGGAGATGCTCCGATACAGCGTGACTCTGGTGGTGACTTTCTTGGCTTATCTCCAGCATTGAGATGAGACTGCCGCCAATTGTTGATTCTTTGACCTCTGGTTTTCTATGACGCGATGTTATTGGGCTGCCCACTAGCTTCTTCCGCATCCACGATGTAACTTCTCTCGCAGCTCGGTACAGTTCCTGCTGTTCTTCCTTCCCCAAGCTGTCCCCCAGAGGAAGAGTCCAGCTGTGGTTGTATAACTTGCCGTGACAACCGCGTGTTCTCAGCCCTGGGAAGCAGCGCAAGAATTTGGAACATTGCAGACAGATATACCTGCTACAGCCAATGTAGTCGAACCTTTTTCCATTGGCAATTTCGTCAGGGTTGCTGAGGGTGAAGGCTATGAGCTGGGCCTCAGCGTGTACCTCCCGAGTCGGCGAACTGAGTCGACAAAAGTCGATGATTAATTTATTCTTCGTCCATTTCGCCTTTGAGTTTGAACAGCTCATCAGCTTCCCGACCGCCGCATCGCTTAGTTCAATGTTGAGTGCTCGAAATGTTTTGGCCGGGCTCCATTCCTGGCAACCTAGTTTCTTTCGAGTCTTTGGTTTTACCACGGGAATAAGGGACAGGTCGTCAAAACCAGATAGTTGCGTCGCAGCAGCAACAAGGACCTTGAACGAAGTCCGTAGACGGCCCAAGAAACCAATTTCTCGGCGTAGAAATTTACCTTGTGGACCAAGAGCCTGGAACTTGTCGGCTGGAAAATTTCGATAGAGAGCATGACTTAAAGTCACAAGGCTATCGTGCCGTTGTAAATCCGAGTCATTATCACCAAAAAGTAACTGGGCAAGCAATTTCAGGCAATTCTCGAAGCCTAGCGTAACACCATATATGTGTGGAAGGGCAGCATTATGAGTTGACTGTGAATTGAAGCGCGGCGGAAGGAGGTGCTCGAAGTTTTTCATGATTCGACCCAAATCGACGATGGCGGCTTGCAGCCTTGGGTACTGGTGACGAAGTAACATATTCCAGAGTGTATCCATGTGCTTCTCAGTCTCATTGTCTGTCAAATTTTGTATTAGCAGTAGTATGTTAAAACCGCTTTAGTTCGTTTCGAACCTGGAGCCATAGCAATACCCTTCAGGGAGATACACAAGTTGTCCAAGAACTTAGATAGTGCATCACCTTCAGCGAATCCCAAATTTATCGCTATAAGAACCTTGACCCTATCAGGCCAGTAGAACATATAGCTAGCAACAATATGGCGGCCTCCTTTCTTTGCAGAAATTGTCTCGGACAGTCTATCCAGAAACTCGCGACCGAGTCGGTCCGTATCAAGGTTGCCAAGTGGCGCATTCTTTGAAGAGTTGCCGTCGATACTGGATTCGTCTAGGGATAGTTCTTCTTCAAGCTCTTGATATAAGACTTTGTCTTCAAATTGGCGACCACTGCGGAGGAAGAGTAGCCTGGCATATGCGTGCAGCTCTTTTAAAGTAGATTCGGCCGATATATGTTGTGTATCAGTGTCCATATTTACAGTAAAGGAATAAATAAAATTATTTGCATACCTAGGAATACTATACAGATTCTACCTTATGAGGGATTCTTTTGTTGGGCTGGTTGGGCATCAAAGTTCTCATGCATGCTTTGGCAGAACTAACCAATAATAACCACCTGGATGACGCGCAGTATCGGGACAGCCCAACACAGACAGAAGTCCAGGACTACCCGGACCTCAGAATAAGCAAATCTGAGATAAATTACTGTCGTTGATAGTATTAAAATATCCATTTTAAAGGTGTAATTAGTCTTTGATGTTCTCTTCCTCAGTTATACTATATAAGGCGTGCCCTTCGTTGGGGGCGGCAATGGTCATTCAACAGTGGGAAACCGATAGCCCAGGCTTGGCGGCCAATTGCCTATTCAGAGTAAGTTTTCAGCCCATATGCACACATCTCGCAGGCTACGCATGATATTTACGGTCTTGGGAATTAAATCTATTTGTAATCGAGTTATATACAAGTAACTGCACATTCTATAACTATTGCATCCCTTTCGTATGATTTTCTTGACAATAGGCATTGGTTTCCTCTCATACCTGATTATTTCTGTAAACTGGTAGAACTGAGCGGCCTCATCCATACTGAAAAGAAAAAGATGTCAGCTCAGCTGTTTGCCATCAAGACTAATATCCTCAAGATTACGAAGATTAACAGGTAATAATCAGTGAAGAAATGCTAGTCTCGCGGATATACCTCATTGAAGTCATCGTCTTACTCTTGCAGCCTATGACCCAATCTTCCCAAACAGCTGCTTCTATGCTTATTACCTTCTCCCTCTGAAGCTTCGCGGTGGTGTCAAATTTCGAACCTGGCTTGACGCCCCATAATTCTCAGCTCCCAGTGGGCTTGGGTCTCTTCCTCTTGGAGCACCAGGTTGTCTGGCATGACCGCCGCTTGGAAACACTGACGAGCTTAAAGTTGAACTGGCACTTCCAGGTGGAGCTAGCGTCCCGGATTGACGCGGGGTACGATAACCCTGAGGTCCTGAACGGCCCGGGCTCGCGCCGCTTCTGGTGGTCCGTGTTGGCTGATGGCTGTAGGAATATGTGGACGCGCTTGGCGTGATGTTGACTCCTAGAGGTGGCGTTGACATCCGCCGGGGGGCAGTGTTCTGAGATAGGCTTACACGTGTGTCTGGGCTACTTGCTCGCCGACCGTAGGGTTGTTGCGAATAGCGAAGAGGGGCCCCTGACATCGGTAATCCTGAGCCCGAGCCCATGCAAGCTCTCTGTTCGTTGGATTGGTTGAAACTTGGTTGCTGTAACTGTGCCGTCACCGTCCCTGTAGTAGGCGGTGCTCCTCCAGTTGGATATCGAATCTGTGATGGGTCTGGTTGGCCGTACCCAGCATAAGGTCGGCTCTGAGAATTACGCGGAGGAAATCCATATGCTGGCGCATTTAGCTCACTCGGCGGAGGTAGCGGAGTCCATGGCCTATATGGCTGGGACTGTTGAGGGGCTACCATCTGTTAGCCTGTCTGCGGGGTTTGGTAACACTAGCCCTCCTGCTCGCGGTAGACGACCACTTCGCGCCGCAGTAGTAGTGGTATCTGAAGACGATCGTCTGTGTCTGGAGGATGTTTGCCTTCTCGTTGCCTGACTTGGATTTATAGTTGGCTGATCCACTACACTTCATGAGGTAGCCCGATGATGCGATCTTTGTCTTCGGGCAGAGTCTGTGTTACTATGGGCCGCGGCACTCGCGACAGCCTCATTAAACAGCCTTCGGCTTCCTCTTGACGGAGAGCCTCGATCGCCAACGTATTCATCCTCGCTGGACTCGGTACTAGTAGAGTCAATAGAGTTACCTTGTCTAGATGTCGTTGTGAGACTGGGAGCTAGGTTGCTAGCTGTATAGCCTCGATGGTATGACGGTTGTTGAAGTGGAGGGGTTTGCCAAGAAGGTGCTTGGGGGATCACGTTCTGTTGGACTCCTGTTGGGGGCTGATAATTTGATAACGGTTGAGCGCCCATAGTCTGGGTGAAGCTATGTCCACTCGACGTCATAGGCTGATAGGCTGTAGGTTGACCATAGTTTGATGATGTGCCTGGGGGTAGATCTTGTGATCTAGATGCTCGCTGGTGAGTTTGTCTGGCTAACCACTCCTCTAGTGTCATATCTGGAGGTATGTCTGGATTATGTGATGTCCTGCTCGGTTCCCAATTACCCCGTGGCGTTGACAACGAGCCAGTGTTTGAGGAACTAGACGTTCGTTGGTGTCGCTGTCGGCTAGGTGACGCAGGCTGTCCTTGTAAAGAAGGCCTGGCGTCTCTTGTTAATGTACTCGCGCGAGTATTAGCGACCCTCATCCGTTCGAGTTCACCTCTCAAGTCCTCCGAGCTACGTTGTATGGTCCTGAGCCTGTCTTGCGCTGCTCTGATTCCATCCTCTGATTGAGCTGCACGTCCTTGTCGGGCGGCCTCATCTCTCCGGGCCTCTAAGTCTGTGGTCTGATCACGGATCTCTGACAGACGCCTTGTACTAGAATAAAGCCTTGGATTAGTGTGCATGAAGCAAATTGTATTGCCATGGGGACCGTACTTGTTGTGGGACATTGCAAAAGTGGCGCAAGCAATAGGTGGTTAGAATTTGATAAGTGTCAAATGTCATGGTTTATCTGAGAAGAGAGGATAGCGTCTGAATAATTTAATGATGGAGGCTATTTAAGCCTCACTGGCAACAACAAGAGGTTTCGGTGGGCGGTAATCCGCATGGCAGAGCCTCATCTTGAACAACTCATCTGCTGACCCCCCTTCCTGTGTCCAGTGCGGCACGTAATCGCTATCATTATGCCGGTTCGTTGGATTATCGCTCAGATGAAACCCTCCTGCGGTCATGCAGCCACGCCCAGGTGTTCTAGCCAGTGAGGGGATGCCACCTTTCTGTCGTGAGGGGTTTTATGCCGACGCCTTTATCTGTCGGGAGCCTGCTTTCAACTGTCATCATCGATTATAGCGGAAGGTTGCATGTGAGACCATGTTTGACAAACTGCCTACGTCACTAGTCCTGGCCTAGCAATACTGGCGGATAGTACATCACCATATTTTCCATCATCGAGCCTTCCAAAAGCTTTGAACCATGGCAGACGATTTAACAGACAGCCTGACCTTGGAGGATTTGGACGTGGCGATTGCAAATCTGAAAAACGACTCGGAGAGCATAACACACGACGACCCCGATTTTTGTTCGACGGCCGCTTTGCTTGCACATGCACTTCGGAAGCATTACCTTTTATCACGGCCAAATGGGGTTTTGAGTGCTCTTGACGAGTCCATCACCTTTCTGAGGCAAGTTATCGATGGTTCTTCCATAAACGATACCAGGAGAGCTGAGTGGCTCATTAGCCTCGCGTTTGGCCTGAGCCTTCGTTGCGATGCGACAGATTGTGAAAACGATGCTAGGGAAGCTTCTCGGTTATCATTCGAGGCCGTGGGCGCCGTAGAAAAGGATGGTCCGCCGTATGCGACAGTCCTACAATCCGCTTGTCATTTCATCGGCAAACAGGCAATCAGACTCCACAAAGAAGATGACTTGGAAAAGGTATTCGAGATGCACAGGGGCATTATCTCGGCCACAACCGTCGATCATCCCAAACTGAGATCACGGTTGCGGAGCTACGATGATACCTTATTCAAAGGGTATTTGTCATTCGGAGATATAGAGTATCTTGAGGAAGCAATTCGAGTCTCAGAGTACATCGTCAACATCCCAGATCAAAGCTCCGAAGACCATGGGAGAAATATATGGATTCTCGGCCAGCGTCTCGTTCAAAGATACTTGAGGACTGGAACAACTGCAGATCTCGACGATAGTATAAGGGCATGCCAACAGGCTGTTGACGACACTCCAATAAACTCCAAGGATCGGCAGCGAAGGCTGCAGTCCCTGTGCGACAGGCTGGGAGAGAGGTATTCTCAGACCCTGAAGGAAACTGATTTTCAGGCCGCCAAAGTGGTGGTGGATCAGATTCTTGATCATTTGCCAACGAAACAAAAGAGTCGAGCCCGGTCGCTTGGAAATATTGGAATCATTTTGAGTCTTCGATATAGACAAACAGGGCATGATGATGACTTCCAACAAGCGATTCACGTTGCTAGAGAAGCCATTAATTTGACGGCTAAGAGCGACATTGGGCGTGCTGTCCGACTGAGCAACCTCGGTGGAGTTTACGCCGAGGCATATGGCAAGACTAGAAATACAGAGCGACTCGAAGAAGCAATCCGCATCGGGAGAGATACCCTCGCTGCCACGCCTGATGGTCATCCAGACAAAGCCCTGCGTCATTTCAATCTTGCAGACAGACTCCAACTTCGATATTCTGAGTCGAAATCGATCTATGACCTCAAAGAAGCCATTTCCTTATATCGACTCACCCTCCATGAGTTTAGGGCCCCCATGTTTCTTCGCGTTCAGGCTGGTTACTCCCTGATGCAGGGTTGCGTCCTGAAGCGCGATTGGAACGAGGCATATAAGGCTGGTGCCGAAACCATCAATCATCTGTCACTCTTCAGACCGTTTTCACTGCAAAACACTGATATACAGCGCGAAGCCAGTAAGCTTTTAGGTCTGGGCACTGAAACAGCATCACTTGCCTTGGAAGTGGGGAAGAGTGCAGCAACTGCCCTTCAATCCCTTGAGTTGGCTCGAGGAGTCATGGCATCGTCCATCAATGTGCTTCGAGCTGATATCAGAGATCTGGAGAAGGGTTTCCCAGAACTAGCCTGCAGGTATAACCGCCTTCGAGAGCAACTCGACATAGTTTACGCTCCGCAATCCGACTTTTCACTAGGCGAAGAGGTTTGGGGAAACGAGATGACAGAAAGATATGATGCAGGGGAGCACATTTCGTCATTATTAAAGGATATACTCTCAAAGCCGGGCTTTAAGAACTTCTCGCGGCCTGATGATGAGGAGCGAATGCGAAGTGCGGCCGCCCTGGGTCCGGTGATTGTCGTCATTGTTGGCCCTCTTACTTGCGACGCAATAATCATTCAGCAGGATGGTTTCAGTGCCATTCCCCTCCATAAGTTGAATCAATTCGATATCGACTCGAAGTATCGGTCGTTAGGACGTGGAAGTCTCAAGGTTCTTGAATGGCTTTGGGATGCAGTTGCTGAGCCCATACTCAATGCACTGGGGTTCACTGAAGTACCTCGGGGTGGGGAGATGCAGAGAGTTTGGTGGGTTTTGACTGGCTCTTTGAGTACGTTTCCTATCCATGCTGCAGGGCGTCACAGCCGGCGAAACGGTGAGACGGTCATGGACAGAATCATGTCGTCGTACGCCACCTCAGTATCAGCTATTGTGCAAAGTCGGAGGACGGCGCCTGTTTCTAACAACGAGGCACTATTGGTGTCTGCTGGCGAAACACCCGGTCACCGAAGATTGACCTTTGCGGATAGAGAAGTCAATGTGCTGCGAGATATCTGTCGCCAAATGAGGCTCGAGCCTGTTGAGCCTGAGCCTATTAGAGAAGATGTGTTATCACACCTGCGAAAGTGCAAGATCTTCCACTTCGCAGGGCACGGATACACTGATACAGCCGATCCTTCCAAAAGCCAGCTATACCTGAAGGACTGGCAGACAGAGCCCCTTACAGTCGCAAGCCTCCTCGAGCTCAATCTACATCGGGAGGGCCCCTTGCTTGCGTATTTATCTGCCTGCTGTACAGGACAGATCAAAAGCGAAAAGCTCTTTGATGAAGGTATTCATCTTATTAGCGCTTGTCAATTAGCAGGCTTCCGGCATGTAATCGGGACTCTGTGGGAGGTCAACGATCAGTCTTGTGTTGATATGGCTGCTATTATATATGAGGAAATTCTTAGGGGAGACATGTCGGATGAGTCTGTGTGCCGCGGTGTTCATGTAGCTACGAAACAGAAGAGAGACCAGTGGCTCGATGAGGCCTATGGTGCTGAGAAGGCAATGAATTCAGTAGAGAACAGGCCAAGGAAGGAGAAGAGGGACGTTGATGTCCAGAGAGATGTCATCTCTGTCGATGAAGACGATGAACAAGGTATTCCTGGCGTGGAGAACGGTCCATTGCACTGGGTTCCATATGTACATTTTGGTGCATGATTCTCAGTTTTCGGCCTCGGATGTCTCGGAAGCTCCAACAACCCGCGGTGTTATCTGTATTAAGAAACACATTGCATTATTCGACTTTTTTTTGATACGATTAAGTCAATGAACCTCGGTTGTGCTTTTCGGTCCTGTATCCGACACGTTCACAATAATTACAATCCCGACATGTCAGTATGCTCGACGCAAATATTACATATATCATACACCTTTCCTCATGAGCTGAAGAGCTGTTCAAGTTTCGACTTTCCCTCCAACTGCTTAATCTCCTGCTTCATAACATCAATGCGATAGTTCTTCCACGCCTTCTCTATCCGCTCCTTGGCCTCAGGGTTCTTCGTAATAGTGCGTGACGCTGATGCAGTACCTGAAAGAAGACCCGTTTCACCACCTAGAAACAAGCCTCCAATCGAGAAGAAGAAATACGTAGCTGCATCACCCCATTTCGAAGGCGCAAGCTGCGCAGTGAGATCTGGGATAGGTTCTGTAGAGTCAGTATAGGAGTTGGATGTGTGTAGGATAACATGACGTACGGGTACGGCCATCCGCAAATTTAACCTCGACGGGCTTCTCCATCGCTCTGAAGGCATTGAAATAGGCCAACCGCATCTTTCGTAGTCTGAAAGCGCACAAGAGGCCGAAACCAAGGCCCAGCAGTGAGCCAACCTTAGCATGGGTTGAGACTTTGTTTCCGGCAGTTCTGAGGATTTCGCGATCATTATCATTCAGACTGATCGACATCAGTACTCCCTATCTTTATTTGAGCGTGAGAAAAAAGCGGTTGGACGTACTCGTGCTGGAAGTGCTCTTCCGCGAGCTTCCGGAGCTCGTCGCTCCTCCCAGATCGGAAAGCGGCAAGTGATTCGGACATGTTTACGGTTGTGGTTTGACTTGATTGATGGGAGAAGATTTGACAGTTCTTTTTGAAGCGGAATGGTAGATTGAAACCTAGAGGAACAGAAAATCTTAAATATATACGCTGGAAGACATTGGAACTCAGCTCGTAACGCTGACGTCACCATCTTCAATTCTTGTTCCTTGTCCCGATGTCGCTAGCGGAAGAACCACGAAGAATCCACAAAACGTCATTATCGTATCCGAAAGTATCATCGTGATTCAGCTTTCTACGCAAAGTTGAATACTGACCTAAGGTTGGTACAGACTATTATTCATGCTGACTCTGAATCAATGCCTCCCACTCCGTCAAAAGCCCCATGATCTCAACACTCTGATCAACATTCGGCGAAGGCCGTTCTGCTGCTTTAACGCCGCGAGATAAATACTCTTCCACCTTCTTCACCTGATATCCAAACGCGTCCATGTCTGCTGGTACGATGATTTGCTCCGTTGAACCACCGTAGGTTTTGATCTCGATGATGTTGTCCCCTGCAACCGGCAGCCAAGGGTTCGTGATGAACCTGATCCTGCCTTTGTCTCCGAGAATAGCGAAAGATGAGTCGTTGCCGTAGCTGTCAGTTGACTGCAAGCTCGCAAGAACGCCGTTGTCGAAACGGACTGTCAGTGATGCGTCGCGGACATGGATACTGCCTTCTGTTGAGATATTGCCGAAGCCGTGTAGTTGACGCTTTGCGAATGCATCGCTGCCAAACGCCGTCTCAATGACGAAGTGCAGCAGTGATACCGGATAGCATCCCAGGTTGTAAATTGTCCCCATGCTCAGAGGATTCGCCTTCTTCCAAATATTGGCAGAGTAATATCCCGATACGCCTTTCACCGTCCCAATCTTGCCCTCAAGCAGCAATTCCTGGGTCTTCTTCATCAACGGGTGAGTAAGGTACATAAGTCCCTCCAGAAAGAACACACCCGCATCTTTCACGGATTTCTCAATTGCTCTCGCATCCTCCATCGTCGTCGCAAGCGACTTCTCAGACAAGATCGCCTTGCCTCGCTTAGCCGCCGCCAGAACTGCGGGGGTGTGCATATGATTCGGCAGACCGACGTACACGACGTCTATCTCAGCCTTGTCAAGCAGCTCATCAATGGAAGTGTATCGCTCTGCAATGCCATGTTTGTCGGCGAATGCGGTTAGGCGAGCTTCATTGCGGCCAAAAACGGCGGCGATGGTGGAGTTTTGACTGGCGAGGATGGAGCGGGCGACGACATCGGAGATGAAGCTCGTTCCGAGCATTCCCCATCGCAACGCGGTCATTTTGGGTAATTGATCAAACTGAATAGATGAATTTGGAGGTACGAAAAAGATGCAATTGCTTCCAGGGCGACTTTTTATAGCTTGTGCGGTCTCGTCAGCATTTTGGGGTTGTCTTTGTGAACCCGCTAACGTTAATTCGCTTATCTTGCTTATCTAAATCCGGTCATCGCCGAGTATTACCGCTTATAAGCTGTCATTTCCGCGCTACCCTGAGGCTATTCTATTCAGAGTTACAAACCAGTAATACAAATCTCTGTATTTCTATAATTATGTGGATATAGCCTGAGGTCCCTCCTTGAGATCCTCAACGATACTCTTGCTTTGCCGCTGTGAAAGTCTTGCCTTGCGCGATATCCCGTGCCATGTTATCATCGGCCTCAACCTGTCCTGGTAAGATTTCCACGACCTTGAACAATACATCCTGAGGCACGCAAACAACGCCATTTAAATCTCCAAATATGATATCTCCGGGATTAACTGTCACATCAAGGGCAGGATCCTGCAACTTCACAGGCACATTGATCTACTATGCTTTAGTCGTGAGCATCCTACATTCGGTGAATATCACGTACCTCACTGGGGCGCGCAACCTCATAGAAGCTCGGCGTACCGACATTGCGAGCGAAGACCTATAATCTATTAGATGGAACTGAAGTCACGATCCAGCCGACCTACTGGATAGTCTAATTTGCAATGATCCTGCAAATCTCGAAAAGTTCCGTCGACAACCGTGCCAACGGCTCCAGAGTATTTAGCACGGGTGCTCATCAAACCGCCGTACACAGCGTTGAAGATGCCATGGGGCGCTGAGATAAAGACAACATGGTCTTTTGGGATAGTATCAATCTACAGGCCGTTAAAAATGGCTCATGCCAAGCAAGTGGGATCGTACATAATGCTCCTTGAGCTTTGGGGCGTTGGTCTGAGTGTTGCGGACAAACTTGACAGTGTACGCAGGTCCAATGAGCTTTTTATCGCCTTCTTGTCGCAGAGGTGACCACATGCTCAAGTTGGGAAGAAAGCCGCCGTGAGGAACGCCCACTTTGAGCAACGCGTCTGAAACATCGCACCTGCACCAATAATCAGATTAGCACCATTTATTACCATGGATTTACTTTTCAATACTTACGTGGAGTATGAGCGAAGCTTCTCAGCCAGGGAAAGGTCTGGGGAGGACATGGTGGATAACGTTGCGGTTGTAGAGATTTTGCGTTGGAATGATGCTCGGTTGGCAACGAGGACCTTGTGAAATGGCTTTATGATGCTCATTTATGTAGAGTAGAAGTATTTATATATAGCATTGTTTGAGAAAGAAATTCAACACAGATTTATGGCGAGTTAATATGGGCACACTGGTCTCTCGGCAAGTTTCCGGGAGATTGCCCGGGACAATTTCCGGGAAAATATCCCGGAAGATACTTGCATGCAAAATACAGCCAAAAGTCAAATTGTCGTATGTATAAATTGTATACTGGTACCACAGCATCCAGGTGCATTAATTATCATGTCGAGTACTTTCCTATCTTTCACTTGTCATCATGGCTGACTCCAAACCAACTGTCTATGTACTAGACCCATACCATCCAGACGCCATCGCAGCGCTGCAGCAATCATCCGGCATCAATGTCGTCCTCCCAACAGACCCAAGCAAGAACCAGTATACTGAAAATGCCACTGCAGTTATGCTCCGCAGCGAGACCCGCCTCGGCGTAGATGAACTGTCCAAATGCAAGAAGTTGAAGTACATCGTCAAGCAAGGCGTTGGTGTCGACAACATCGATCTCAAAGCAGCTGCCGCCGCAGGTATAAAAGTATACAACACCCCAGGTTTGAATGGAGAAGCGGTTGCTGAGCTTACACTCGCACTGGCTTTGACACTGTCACGACGAGTTGCTGAAATTGACCGCCGGACGAGAAACGGCGAGGCGATTGTGAGGAGTAAAACGCTGGGTAAAAGCTTGTTCAAGAAGACACTGGGAGTTATTGGAATGGGAAATATTGGGCTCGCTGTTGCGAAGAAGTGGGTTGGGGCTATGGAGGGCAATATCGTCGCGTATGACCCCTTCTCAGATGGGAGACAGTGGTTGAGCACGTTCGGGGAGAGCAGGTTTCGCCAGGCCTCAAAGCTGCATGATCTTTTGAGTGCATCAGATGTCATAACTCTTCATCTCCCTCTCACCGAAAATACAGAGAATATCATCTCGACCGCAGAGTTCAACGCCATGAAGGATGGTACAGTTCTGCTCAACTGTGCTCGAGGAGGCATCGTTGACGAGGATGCATTGTTAACTGCGCTGAAAAGCGGAAAGCTTTTTGGTGCTGGCCTTGATGCCATGGTGGTTGAACCTCCTACTGTTGAAGCATACCCGGAGTTGCTGGCGTTGCCGAACGTTGTTTTGACGCCTCATGTTGGAGCTTCCACAGTTGAGAATCAGAGTCAGAGTGGATTGGCCGTTGCAGAGATTACAATGGCGCTGTTGAGGGGGGAGGAGAAAGGTAATAGAGTAGCTTAGATGCATTAGACATCAGTTTGTCCTCAGTAGGTCATATGGAATAGAATATTATGAGTACCTTGGTTCACACTGAGATCGATCTCCTGCAACCCGGCATCCTCCAATAAGATGACATGCATCGCAGGATGATGCTCCGGAGTGGAGAGCGCTAACCCGAAGTAGACTCAAACTTTTCCAGGATCGGTCACTCCATTGCTCACTTCATCTCGACTTGTCATCAACGTCACTTCAACAGCCAGGCCACGATGAGCCTAATCAATCCGAAGCCCATCAAAAGACAGAGAAAAGTACATCGCATCTCACGGAACACATATGTCACCCGCCAAACACCATAATGCCCAAAACAAGGCGCGAGCGAAGAGATTCTCCGCCCCGCCCAAAGAAAACAGCCCGATTGACATGCAAAAACTGTCGTGCCCGCAAAGTCCGCTGCGATGGAGGCCAGCCCGTTTGCGGTATCTGTATAGCGTACAATGAGACTTGTCAATATGATCGACCACCGCCCATGACGCAGATTCGCGCTATGGCGGATAGGATCGCTCAGCTTGAACAGACCATCAAAGACCTTCAGAACAATGGAACCAGTATTGCTCCCGTGGAAGCGGTTCTAGCAGGAAATACGACAGGTTCAACGCTTGCAGATCCTCTTCCGACCATCGAAGTTGCGCACGGGCTTCTCGATACCGCTCGTGCTTTCTACGATACCACGTCAGCAGTTCACGATCCCGGAGATACGCCATCGCAAGCAACGACCGGTCAAGTCACCGTGGCACACAGCCCTGAAACTCGGCAGCCTCTACCAATGGAAACACCCGAGCTGAAGTTCTGGGAGGATCAAGCTGTCGAGAGCGCAGCGGTTTATCTCAGCATTCCTCAGGATGTCATTCGACGTCTCTTCGCGACGCATTGGACATGGGTGCACGCCAACTTCATGTTTGTCCCAAGAACTCTGTTTCTCCGTGACGCCTCAGTAGGAGGCAAATTCTTCTCTCCATTCCTGTTGAGCGTATTATGTCTACACTCGACACGGTTCAGAGAACGGCATTTAACAGAGCAGTTGCTTGCCAGGACAAAGTTGGAGTTTAGTCACGAGATACACAAAGAAGGATCCATACCACTAGTCCAAGCACTGCTGCAATTCAGCGCTCGCGAAATCGGTCGAGGCTCTGTATCGCAAGCCTGGCTGTACGGTGGCATGGCATTTCGAGTTGCTATTGACATCGGCCTCTTCTCGCTATCACCTGGGAAATCCGAGGATGTCGTATGGATGCAACTCGGGCGTCATCTCGCATGGTCCTGTTTCTTCTGGGACAAGACTTTGAGTCTATACCTTGGAAGAACGCCGTCATTGCCTGAGCCACCGAAATGGGATCCTGCTTTACCAGAGGAGCCAGAAGCTGAGTTATGGCCGCCTTATCCCATTCCCGATGACGAAGCACTCCAGAATTATCAGTCGAGACCATCACATCTGTTACTGTGTTTTGCATATACTTGCAAAATCAGCCTCATTATTAATGATATCCTTTTTAGTATTTATGGAAGTAAAAGAACGAAAGATGTCTTGGACTTTGTGCAGACTACAAGGGAGAGGCTGCACTCCTGGCGTTTAGGTTTACCGACAGCTTTGCATGTGCACTACCAGGCTCAGACGTGTCCGCCTACACATTTCGTAGCTCAGCAGTAAGTTCGCAATGCATTGGCACTATCACCAATCTAACGTATGTTCAGAATGCTATACCATACCACCATAATCCTACTCCACCGGCCGTTTCTCAATAACCCAGCATGCTGGAGGGCATGCCAAGAGGCCTCTCAAGCCGTAGAGCAGCTTCTCCAGCTCCTCGATAACACCTTTGGCTTCCAGCGGTTTACATATATCATGGCCTACTGTACCTACACCGCAGCCACAGTCGTCGTGCAAGACATGAAAAATGGCAGGCCTGATACTACCCAACGATTCAAGATGTTCATGAGGGCTTTGAATGCCATCACAGTCAGCTGCCCTGGCATACAGCGTAGCATCGATATTCTGACAAGGGGACTTGGTGCGGTGTCAGTCGAGCAAGAACCCCCGGCTTTTCCGGAGCAAGCCCCGCAGATACCGGCTTTTCCTTATACGGATTTCGAATACATGTTTGCTGAAGGGGTGGATGAGACGAGTCATGAAACAGCTACGGGCTCGAATCCGTTCTTCAACCTTGATTCCTTTCCACAACTGTGGTTTAATGAGTTTTCAGATAACGTATTTGATGACGCTCACGTTGAGAATTCAATGTAAGTCAATGTCTGGGATTTGTATCCTAGTGACATGCCATCGGGGGAGTTACACAGGAGGTCAAGATAGACAACAAGAGATCTTGGTCCGCCCTGCTCCTCTGTCACATTGTCATTAAAGATCCTAGCATCTCATATATGATATGATAAGCCATTTGAAATGATAATAGTGGGCTACCCTGAAGCTTTTGTAAAAACATGTGAGAGAGTGGA